ATAAATTAATTAAAGAGATCACAAAGACCTTTATGGTCCATTTGATTTGTATGATTGTTTTTTTTGGGATTTGGATTTCATGGATGGATTTGAAATCATTGGTATGTTTGGTTTGTAGGATTTGGAATGTAATTAGATTTTATTATTTATAGAAATAATTATAAATAATTGAATTACATTTTTATTAATCGATTATTACAAAACAAATGTTTTTAAAAAAAATTAAAACCTTATTATGTACAATCCTACGAAATCCCAAGCACTCCCTTAGGATTTCAAAATCCTATGTTTGTAGGATTTCAAAATCCTATGTTTGAAGGATTTCAATTAAATTCTAAGATTTTAAATCCGGATAATCCAACAAATCAAGCATGAGATTGGAATGGATTTAAAATGCAAATCCCTCAAATTCATTTCATTCCTTCAAACCAAACGGTACCTTAAGATTATTGTATTCAATTCCTATCCCCTATATTTAACTCATCATTTTCACGCTCTTATGCTAAAATACAAAAAAAAAAAAAAACCCTTCGTTTTGATAGTATTAACGATATAATTATGATAAAAAAATCAGAAACAAAGAAATTATATAGTAATTGACACAACCTGCAACATTCACCGCATAATTTAGAAAACACCATTTCATCTGTCAACTTCCAATATTACAATAAGACGTATATACAGCCTCCAGCAATAGAACATTTGAAGTCATGTTCTTGGAGTTTTTCCCGATCGATCAATGTTGTTTTTAAATTAATTAATTTTTAAAAAAAATTACACCAATTTTGTGACGGATTTATGACTGGTTTTTTAAAATAATAAATAAGTAAATAGTCTGTTAAAAATCTATCGGAAAATTTATTGAAATAAATTCTTATTTAAAATAAAAAGATCAGTGACAGATTTATGACGGAATTCAACAAAATCAATGACGAATTTTCCGAGGAAAAATCCCGTGATCCGTAAAACCCAGTTTTTCAATAGTGTTGAGTTGAGACAGCATGACGTTTGATATTAATGCGTCAGGAGGGGATATATTCGCCACCACTTTGTAAATGATTGTAAAAATATTCCCAACTCTCAATTATTCGAGAAGGAATTATGATTCATTTTAAGATAAGAAGGAATAAATTAAACATCTTCTTATTTTAGAACTCCAAAACCATATCATCAATAGCAACCAACATGTTTTTTTAATTATATAATATTTATATACGACAAATAACAAAATATAGGGTTGGAACGGAATTCAAATCCAAACCCCTCTAAATCCTACCAAATAGAGGTTTTCTTTGAGAACTCATGTTCTTTGAGCTTGTAGAAACCAACATGATGTTTGATCCTAAAGTGTCATCCGAGGATACATTGCCACATTTTTTGACCGTTGGTTTGGGGGCTTGCTTAGGCACATTGGCTAATTTCCCGAGCAATCACAAATCGTCTGGAATCATCGTAGGTGAACCTCTTAAATGTTAATCCAAAACATAGTACATACCCCTAAATGTTAATCCAAGTCGTTAAATTATAAGATTGGCATATATTATATGATAAGATAAATGTTGAGTATCTTTTAGTTGATGGTTTTGTTTTTTTAATCGGATCCACACCCAAGAGAATAATATAGCTTTTCATAATTTAATATACAGATATATAGCCAAATATTGTGTATAGCCATATCCATATGGACCGTATTTGACACGTCTTTATTTTATATACAGCAATCTGAATGATCACATATAGTACTTCTATTTCACTTTCCCAACAATTTTATATACAACGAAATAGATAGTTTATGGGTTGTTTATCAAACATTTATCGGTTGAGCATTATAAGAATCTTACACAAGAAGAGGCATAGCAAGTACAGAGAATCATACCCGATAAGTAAGGGAGAAGACTGTCCTGTTAGCGTTTACTCAGTACCAACAATCCACTTTGATGGCCGAGAATACCACTCGGTAAGATAAGTGAGGTTGATGACTTTTGTCGGTAATACACTTACCCAGTAAGCATTTGATAAGTAAAGAACCTCTTAGTCTCATTTAATTCCATATTTACCCCATGAGCATCGTAATGTCTAACATAATGTAAAGTTTAAACGTATGTTTAACTTATAACAATCGAATTTCAAAACATGGGTTGTTATAGCAAACCAACTTAAGAATAAAATGTGAAAAATCCAACAAACAAAAAGTACAAAAAGTTCAAGTCTTTTTTTAAATATAGATTAGCCACATGAACATGATACCATCATGTATCACAACTATTCTTACTCCCTTTTTTGGCATATCTGGAACCCATTAAATTACTCTTTAAAAGAGTTCTTCACTAGAAAAGCAAAGTTTCAACATGTATCGAAAATAAATAGTCTAAGGGGCTATTTGGTTCTCGAAATTCAAAGGAATATCAATTTATTTGTTTGGTTCATTTCTTGAAAATAAACAGTCACGCCCCCACCCCAATCCATCACTAATCACCATGGCACCATTATCGTCGTTACGACTGCCAACCCCACCTCGTCATCCACCCCTGTCACCCACCTCACACCACCCCGCCACCCGACCACTATTGTCGTCGCTCTTTAACGGATTCCGATTCCACAAAATTCTATTCTACAAACCAAACGCTCCCCAAGTCTAACCAATGTGAGATTCCAACACACCCCCTCCAACAGAGGCCAGACAGGTTAAGAACACCAAGTCATCGGTCAACCTTTACTACAAAAATGACAACCTGCAACAGCGGAAGCCTTGTATGTTCTTTGAACTCAAAGGAGCTTCTATACCACTCCACTTTGTGTATGAATTAACCATAGACCGTATCCAACTACGTATGAATTAATTGAGAAGGAATCGTGATTAATTATAAGATCGGAAAGAATAAAATCAACACACGCTCAAGAGAATAATAAACTTTCGACAATTTTATTAGTGCAAGTATGGCTATCGAATAAATGATATAGATCGGATATGGATATGGATATGGATAGATCCGAACCATTTTTATATTTGCATCGTCGTTTCCAGCAAATCTGCTTCTCTTCCACTGTATTTTGATTATTTATTCCTCCCCATTTTGTTATATTTAATAGTTTCTAAAAGCAAAACAAGGAGCATAAACTTTGTTTGAATATTCCCAAAATATATTTTGCAAAAGGAAATTCCCAAGCAACTAATTTGTATAAACATATTAAATTTAATATATATTTATAGATCCAACATCAAATAGAAACCAGCTAAACGTTACAAACATATTTTATGTATTATTTCATAGATGAAACAACACATGTGAAAACCAGACCTGTGGAAATTATCAAAACCGTCCAATTGAGTTTGAATTTAAACCGACTTGTACTGTTATATTCTTATCTACGAGTATGAGCGTATGTTTCATGCATAAACACACTTTGTGCTTTTTTATTAGTATGGAAAACATCATTTGACGTTTCATCTATGAAAGATGAAACCCAACACAATATTATGAACAATGCATATTCATATGTATTGTTTCGTCTATAAAACAACACATACAAACTAGTTTTTACGGTTTCTAACTTTAAGGCAGTTTTTACATAATTTGCCTCCCATGTTTATATAGACAATTACTGATATGGAGTGTCTTTACCAAAATTCATAAGTTTTAATAACAGTGAAGATAAAAGAAAACCATCCAGTCAAAATGGGAATTTAACCAAAAATATTATAAATAAGAGAATATTTTCCAAAAAGATAATAATACAATTTAAAAATTAAGAAAATAATACTATTAATTAAATTGGACACTTGTCTTTCATATTTTTCTAATTTTCTATATATAAAGGCATGTGTGATATGTTTAAAAACCATAAGCAAACACAACAAAGAGAAATACTACTTCCTTTCTCTTAGTTAAAATGCCATATTACTCAAAAACCAGATTGGAGCTTTCGATGATCGGATCAGAACCGTTTGATCTCCTAGACGGGCGTAACCCCAAGTACCCATCATCGGCTCCACCAATTACTACTAAAACCCAAGAGCAGGTGTACCAATGTCAATATACACCACAACAGGCTTACTTTGTCCAACAAGTACCAGCAAAAAGGACAGAGATGGTGGTCGATTGCTACCAAGCGGCCAACATCTATGGCGGCACGCTGCGTGTGGACATTAAAAGAAAACCCGCCCGTAAGGGTTTCTTTTAATGATAATTAATCTAGCCACTTAGCCACCACACAAGTTTATATAAGCTTATATGTGTATTTCAATCTTGGAATTCTTCCTTGCCACTAGTTGGTTTTATGTGGATGTGCCAAGACTAGTGTTGAAATCAATTACAGTATGCTAATACTACTTGGTGTTAACTTATGTTTAATTACTTGATTAAGGCTTTGGTCAGATCCCAACTCCCATATACTATCATATGTTCTAAAGCTAATAAGATATCAACCACCAGATATCAACTCCTTTTCCAGCACTAAAATGCCCTGTTTCTCCCATGAATTTAGCCCTTGATTTGACTCCCATATTCATCGGCTGCTACAAGTTTCTCTAATCTAATCTGTGTGTATAATATAGGCCAATTCAACAAAATTAAACTTGAATGAACAAGCTACAACATCAAGAACAATACAAGAGGATCTAAAGGGGTTGTTTGGTTGGTTTTCATTTAGTCCTATATGGATAAAGTTGTCTGTGTGAATTAATCTGTCTGTATATATTGAGAAGGCTTATGTTTGGGAGGGTTTTTTCATAGATGGAAGGAGCGTGTTTTTTAATTGCAGAAGGGCAGGTTCAGAAAAAACTTGGCTCTCTACATAAAGCACCCCCTAGAAACTTACTAAATAAGCTATTTTCTATATCATTGTCACTACCAAACAGTCATGTATAGCTGACCGAATAAGCTGTGAGTCTCATTAAGCTTATTAAGCTGCTACAAACAGGCTCTAACTCTTTGTTTTCGGCTCACCCCAACTACTTTGCAAGCCTATACACAAACAGCTGATAGAAAGACCACCAACAAAGCCACCAACAAATCCTTAAAATTCTTCCAATAAAGCCATCATTCAGATTTCAGACCTGACTTTTGCATAGGTCTAGTTGCGATAAACAAAAGAAAAGGCACGAAAAGAAGGTGTATGTTTGAGTTTCCACAATCATTTTGGTTTATTCAAGGAGTTTCCATCCTAATTTTAGAATCTTAGTAACCAACTACCAGGTTTTCAACTGTTACCTTCATCAAAGCGTGATTCAAGAAATGCATCAAGCTCAAGGAGCTCCTCTGGTCCAAGAGACTTGCATAATTCATCCTGTAGAACAAAATATAAGTTGTTAAACTTTAAAATAAGCCAGCCATCACAAAAGATCGCAACATTCTTTTCTGTAAAGTTTTCATGTTAAACTTAGGTATTTGCTCCTTAATCATCATTACAAATAAATTGATTATATTAATTTTTGGTCTATTTTATCTTTTTTACAAGATATCTAGCATATTTAAGAATAGTCAAACAATTTCCTTACACTCTATGTGAAGTCGAACTTTGCAATCAAGTACATAAATAATATAAAGGACTATCATTATATATAGTTTCCGCATTGTGTTCAAACATGAAGATATCATAGGCACAAATGGTGATGGGGAATGGCATAAACCTTCATTTTCATGTTTTCATTCGCAACCTTGTCACATTCCACAGATAGCCTCTGCAGTTCCTCTCTAAGCAAGAGATTCTCATTTCTTAGTCCAGCTACTCTAGCCTGTAGCTCTTCACACTCAGCCTGGTGATAAAGGTAGTACGTAAGTGAAGTACCAAAATCCAACTTTTATCAAAAAGCTTCTTTTTTCTTTCTGTAGGGTAGTTAAGTTGGCAGTTGGACACTATGAGGTTACATTAAACAAAGTATGTGTCACCTGCTTGCGCAATCTTGATCTTCTAGCTGACTCTCTATTAGATTGCTTCCTCATCTCTCTTTTCAGTACTCGCGATGTCTGCGAAGACATGATAATCGCGTTGGTTGATGTTGATCAGCAATATATGTCTAAAAGCTTTGTAAGAACCGAAGATGCAACTACTTTAAACAGATAGTATGAATCCTAGAATATGACAGAGATTTAATATTTTTAGTACAAGTAATAATAGTTACGAGGGTTCGTGCATAGTTATGAGGACCCAGACTCTATATCGAAGAAGTAGAAAAACAAGGGGGTGAAGGAAAAGGCTGAAAACTATGTGTTTTTTTTAACTGAACTTTTCGCACTTCTGACATTTTCGGTGAGTGAAGTTCCAATTTCTGCAACAAAGAGACTGAGAACTATTGTCTACTAGAATCAAGTGACTGTTGTTCATATCAATGCATATACGTACAGGAAATGTAAGTTGTTCAAATTACCCCACACACATCATCCTCCCTATTTGCACCCTCCTTCCCATGCTTCCCCAGCCATTTTTCCACTGCCAAGCGCCTGTTTCTCCCTTCTCTAGATTGCAAAACAAGTCGAAAGTGTAAGCCACTTCCGCTTAACTCAAATTTAATAAAGGTTAGAGACTTATTTTCTCATTAGTTGATTTATGTTCTTCTGAATTCCATATATGATATCTTCAGGGTTTGAAAAATGTAGGTCAACGCCAGATGCAGTAGGGGAGGATAAGGGAGGGGGTAATCACGTGTTCTCCCGTTCGGACGTTGATGTAGTTGTGGGGAGGGTAGGACTTTGGTAGCAGATTTTTATATGGACCTGTAGTTGTGGGCAGAGGTAGGACAAGGATAGCAGATTTTGATAGAGAGTAGTTGTGGGAGGCATAACTAGGATAGCCGATGTTTATAGGACCTACAGTTGTAGGGAGCGGTAGAGAACCGACAACAATGATAACAAGGTCATGGCAACAAATTCAGTAAGGGATCTGGACCTACTACCTCCTTCTACGAGATTTCGTTTATTACTTTTTTCTTATATATGGTCTTATTGTGAATTTGTGGTTACTATTTACTGTCTGGGTTTCCTGCTTGCACAATCTCTTTCTAGTTCTTTTTCTCCTATGCCTTCTGCTTTCCCATGTTTTTTTAAATCCCCACAACCTTCAAAAATCTTTTTAACAGTTCTTGCCTCTACAAAACTTTTTCGCAAGCCAAGGGTCTTCACATAAATAGTCTCTCTACCCCTTGGGTAAAGGAAAAATTTGCATACATCTTTACCCTCCCAGACCCTACTTTCGAGTGGGATATATAGGTATGTTGATGTAGTCGGACGGGAAGAAGCAATCATGTCGTGGGTATGAAGAAGATGGTGTTGGCTGTCAAAAAAGAAAATGACGATGATTTCTTCAAGATAATATAGTGGAGCAACTACATTTACTTGTACTCAAAGCCTTGATACTTGTAAACTAGATCTATTTATTTTCAACAACATGATCCTTCAAGTTAAATTTTAACCAAATCAAGGGTTGGGTTCCAGTGAGAAGGAGAGTTAAGGTGAGAAGCATAAGAAAGGATCTACACCCTTGGATGCACATTAGGATGAGATGCACGGAGATGAGATGCATCAGATCAATCCCCATACCAAGCGCGATTCATAGGTGGGTTTGAGATTAAAGGTGATTAAGGGTCCAGATCCTTTCTTACGCTTCTCACCTTAACTCTCTTTCTCACACGACCCTTCGCCAATCAATATTAGCTTGTACCTAAAGTAAAGCATACACTCCCTCCATTCCAAAATAAGTGTCCACTTTCAAAAGTGCTACTTTACAATTCTACCCTTACTTATGAGATGGAGAAACTCATTACTCCATCTATTATTAAGGGTAAAATTGTCAAATAGTTGATTAAAAAGTGTAATAATTACACATTTCTAAAATTGTATACCTTTTTCGTGGACATTTATTTTGGGACGGAGGGAGTATTAACATGCATAACATAAAATATATATATATTAGTACATGTTAAGAAAACAGATAAACAGACAAACTCTTGGGGAGCATTGTCTTTTATCTTTTCATGTCAACTTTATTTTTCTCTATGTTTTGATGCTCCTTGTGCAATATAATTTGTACATAGCTTTTATGTCACTAAATTTTTAAATCAAGACAGCTGAACAACCACATAATATGTTACATCAACTCGTCACTATACCAAACAATTTAAGTGGTGGTCACCTGATTATGGAAGACAAACATTTACAGCCGCTTAATCTAAAAAATTAAAGCATCATACACCAAACTGAAGATTTAACCCAAATCATTATGCTCATTTAGTATGTACATTTTGTAGGTCCCATTAACCTGGTTTCAGAAGAAGTGCTGGTGTGATATTGAACCCCATTTACCTGATCGAGAAGAAACGAGGGACCCTCAAATGGAGAAGGTTGAACCGAGAAAATTGGTGTAATGAATGAGGAACCAATAAAAATGTATTTTTCCACAAAGGTACTATTATAAACTAGCAAAAAGAACAAAGTTCATTGATACCTAAACTGAATCATCAGTCATCATTACCTCCTTTCTCACCATTGGTGGTCGCACCACTGTTTTTGAGGCGGCAAAGGAATTTGGCTGCATTGTCACAGATCCAGCTTCAGCAGAGGGATACACAGACTATCTCCAAATTAATACTGGTAAGAGGCAAAAAAAATTACGGGATTCTCAGCCACTGAAGTCAAAAATTTGGTCCCGAATTATTGTCCTTTGTGTTGACCACAGATAAATGAAATTGCAATTTATAACATATACTCAAACAGGAAGAGACATCTATGTAGAAGGTGTGCAGAATTACCACCTGCAAGCATCTAATTGAAGGTTCCTTCTTACCTCCTGAAACTTCGTGGAAGTACTAATTTGATATGTTGGTGCATATGTCAGACATTCACAAATTTATTTCTTAACAAGTTAATAAATGTTATCCACTGGAATAATAAAAAGTCAACTATTATGATCATACTTTTGTTCAAGACTAGACAAGATAAGCATATGGAATGTAACATATGATGGGGAATCACATACAACTCCGTCATGCTCATTGCCTCAACTATATCTTTGGAGTAGTTACACATGTATCTTTGATCGTACAATAGAGATGGCAAATACATCATTCACTTCTAAATGACTTCTAGTTCAAAATAGCAGAGGGTTCTAATATTCCGATTGGAAACATTAGAACGGTAATTCGGTAAAAATGAACTACAATTCGAATCTGTCTAATATAGATATACCTTTCCTAACAACTGTGCACATTGTATTTTTAGCAACTCAAAAGTTCTCAAGCGACAAACGATGACAAAGGGGATTCAATAATCTAGTTCTTTATCCTACTACATAAATTAAAAACAAGAGAGACGGTCTACAATAACCACAATCATTTTTCATCACATTGATCCTGAAAACTTTAATTGTGTCAGCTGTGTACCTATTGCTTCTATCTTTAACTAAACTTCATGCTAACACAAACCACCAGTCCACCATTAGGTTTGTTTGGCAGTGTAGGATACAAAAGTGGAATAAGTGTAAATCTTGTGAAATAGTATGTTTCTACTGTCATTTAGTTCTAATGCCTTTGATCTTCAGTATCCAAAGATCCATCCCCTACTTCAAACCCAACTCAAGGAAGTCCTCAAAACAGAAAATGAAAAAGAATATTTCAACCAATTTTTGGTCCCCATCCCTTTGATCAAGGAATCATTCATGTACAATCCTGTTTGATGCCCCTCAATAAAATAGGGTGACAAAAACAAAAAATAGACATCTAATTGAGTATTCTAGATCAATTTTTTTCAACTTATGTGCCTAAACAATTTTGTGGGAGAGCAATACTTACAGCTACATAACTCATGAATTGTATGCCTATTAGAGTCTAACAGTTTCAAACACGTAAGCAATCACTTATTCAGACCTTTCCTAATGTCAAGGCCTTCTCATCAGATCTATCTCTGCAAATCTTTGATTGCATTGCATTCATCCATATTCATACCCAACACCAAAGCAAATTCAATACCAATCTCACAAATGTCTTGTCCTTGGATATTCAGTCGCAAATATTGGATACAGGTGTTATCCCCAACCACAAATAACTTCTATTCTCCATGGATGTCATCTTTAAGCACCAACCTTTCTTCCCAAATACTGTCATTTAAGGGGAGAATACCAGTTTTGGGATTTAATTTAGGTTTATTCCAGGCACAAATCCAGAGTTTAATAATATGGGGTTTTTTGTTTCGCTCTTTGGGAGAGGTTAATCCTTAATTAATAAGGAGATTAAGCAAATTAAGATTCTCATGCAAAAACTACCGGAGAGTATGGTTTAGCTTTTCGAAGGTTTAAAAAAACAACTACCTCTTGAAAGTAGACACGTGTTCTCTTTGGTAGCGTTTGGTACGCAGACATGATTGGCGACAGGACATAACAGCACAGAACTGGACGGGACAAGTGGGTAAGATAGGACTGGAAAAGACTTGGACAGGACAGAAAAAGTGTATGTCTGGTGTTTGGTACGACTAGGAGTACACAGGACAGAACTAGACAAGTTCTCCACAAAAGTTATTTGATAAATTTCTATATCATATAATAGTTATAATTAACAGAGATAAAGTAAATAGTTAAATAATGTAATTTATAAACATTTTAACACAATTTTCATATACATAAATACATACTAATATGACAATAACAAATTTGAATGAAAAATTTGATATAATTGATGGCAATTAAAAAAAACTTGATTCGTACAAAGAAGAAATTATGTTTTATCCGGTTAGGAAGTTCCTTATCAACTGGCGAAGGGCATGATGAAGATTGTTGCAACAATAATGGTTGTGGAGGTAGAGGCATTGGTGATTGGTGGACGAGGGTGGTTGCGGAGGATGTGAAGATAGTAGATAGTGGTGGTGGTGGGGTCAACAGTGGTGGAGGAGGTAGTTGTTTGTGGTCGATGCAGTGGAGGTACTGGTGGTGGTCGTTATGGTGGAGGTGGTGCTGGCCAACTGTACTAATAATGGTGGCGATGGGCAACGGTTGTCGGTGGCGATGGAAAACGGTTGTCGCTGGCGATGGGCAACTGTTGTGGCCGACGGTGGTTGTGGAGGACGTGAAGATGGTAGATAGTGGTGGTGGTGGCGGTCGACAATGGTGGAGAGGGTAGTGGTGTTAGTGGGCAGTAATAGCGGTAGTTAGTGGTGGTAGTGGTTATGATGGAGGTGGTGATGGCCGACAGTACTAGTGGTGGTGGTGATGGCCGACAGTACTAGTGGTGGTGGTGATGGATGGTGGTGGTTGTGGAGGAGGTTGTTGTAGTGGAAGAGGTGGGGCTGGCCGACGGTGGCTACCGGTGGCAGCGGCGGCCGCGACTAGCGGTGGTGACCATTAAACAAATACCATATTGAGGTTATATATCAAATGAGGGTAGATTAGTAATATTTTAGTTTTTGTCTCATTTGTCCCTTTTTGTTCCACCTATTTTGGTGGAACAAGAAAAGCCTTTTTTGTCTCATGTTGTCCCACCTTGTCCCAGTTCTTGTCCGAGTCATATGTCACGCCAAAAGTGAAACAGTGAGTTCTTGTCCTGTTCCATGTCGCACCAAACGTGGGACAGTGAGTTTTGTCTCGTCCTGTTCTGTCCTGTCCCATGTACCAAACGCAGTTTTGATCATCAATTGAAGTCAATAAACCTCGGGTTCTACCAAATTGGTATCATTGGAACCGGACAAAAACGTTTATTGAACCAATGGTGGCAAAAAAAGGAATTGATGCAGAAACTGGGCATCAAGATCGAGGAGGTGAGATCCACAATGTTCACTCATCTAGTTGCATGGAGGAACTGGCAGAAGATCAATGAAACCCAAAACCATAATACATGAGCAACACCACCAGTGGCAATAAGCATTGGCAAAAGGGGTTCTTGTGGAAGTAGGAATTATTATTGGCTCGATGGGGAATGAAATGACATATAGGGTTGTGAGAGGAAGGAGAGTTTATCGGTTATCACTATGTTATTGGGCCTTGAGAGATAACTGAGAAAATTGGAAAGGTTGTGCATTTACTACAACTACCACCTATTGATATTATTCACCTTATGTCTCATGTATCATAGTTAGGCCGAGAGACCATACACCGATTCCAACACTCACATCCACCTCGATTGATAATGGAAATCATTATGGAAGGAGGGGTGGTTAAGGTGGTTCCTTATGGACACTATGGGTTGCCATATTGTCCTAGGGACAGGGAGGTGCTAACTCATTCAAAAGGTTTGTCAAGTATGAGGCAACATTAGAACCTTTCGGAAACCAAACTTCCACCTAGAAGACAAGGTGTGTTTGAAGGGGAAACAATGTTAGCCCGTGCTTAGGTGTAGGCCCATAGGCGCAAGACAAACCTAGAGTTTAATAATAAAGGCATTTTTGTATTTTCCATTTGAGGGGTTAATCTTTATTAAAGAGATTAAGCAAATTAAGTTCCTTTCGTGAAAATTCATGGGGGATACTGTTTAGTTTTTATGGGGTTTGGGAGAGACGGCCTACCTCTCGAAAGTAGATTCTCTTTCATTTAGATCTCAATTGAATTAATAAAAGTGTTTGAGTGTTCTATCAGCAACGTAAATTTCTATTAAGTCGATACAACAGATAAGATAACGGTACTTAAGAATACAAAGTAAGGGCACAATTAAGGTAAGGATATAAATCAACAAATAAATGAAACAAGATTTTACCATTTGTGCAAAATTGGGAAGCAACATTAGAAAGGAAAATTGGAAGATGGATTCTCGAAGAGTACCTTAAATGTCGGATTGCCCCACCCTAAATCTAAGTCAAGCAACTTCGAAATCGCATAAGAACAAGGACAAACAAAAAATACAAATGAAAACCCTTGAATCATGTATATATTGGGCCGATCAATCAAAGCCCTTGGCAATCACTACTGGGCCTCTACTTCTAATTTGGGCCATAGGCAAAAATTGGATTCAAATAAAAATTCAAGGTATGGTCAACATTTTGAGAGTACAAAATGAGTCGATTTAGGCTTCAAAATGCAAAATATTTGCATTTGTTGTCAAGTGGTTACTTCAGAAACACCGTTGACGACCACGATTACAAAAATCTGAATGTTGTTTCCACAATAATACTATATTTTTCTTTTAAAGTTACTCAGATAAAAAATTACTTCCTCCCCTGAAGAGATAGTCCACCTCTGAGGTTTGAGCATCATATGAGCGATTGTTAACTACGAAATTGACTAGATCATTTTCTTTGTATGAAGAGTATTGGAATAAACCACCTCAAGACAAAAGGAAATCAAAAAATCTAAGTCATATTTCAATTTGGTAAGTAGTATGCACAAATCTCTAGAGTAAAAGGAGGACACTTCTTATGAGTAGTAAACTAGTTCATTGACGTCTTTCTTATTTGTCAATATATAGTGATGTATGGCATGTATTAGAGCAACTAATAAGACTACTACATGACTGGAAGGTTTTTGTTTGAGTCATGAAAACAACCTTGAAAAATGCAAAGGCAAGGCTGCATACAAAGTGTACATCCTGAATCTTGCAAAGCCAAGGAACCTAAGTGGACTGAGGTCGTTTCCATTGTTGTAGCACACGCATCTGGATGAGTAAGCTATGTACATGATGTGACGGATGTATTATTGTAGCCATATTGTTGCCTTTAATAAGGATGTGCACCCCACAAGAAAAAACGACCAATACCCATAATCAAATGTCATAAAGCTGAATTATGGGCATATATCATGTCAATTATCAAAATCAATGACCAAAGCAGGAGATGGAAATGGCATATAATCTTCAGATCATAATGTTTTACCATATGGTAAATCACTGGATTCTCATGAAAAAGGAAAGAGAAGTAATATATGTAGTTAACCATAAAGAGACTACAAAAAGACAATATTGTTTGCAGATAAGGAAACTAAACCAATGTGGTAGAACATGATAGACGCTCAAGCTGTAATCTGTTTGATCCAAGATCAAACATACTTGCATGTTCCAAATATGCAAAAGCAATAAGTACACAATTCCAACATTGGAAGATGGTTCTATTTCCAACAGGTATAATGTTCGTAGGTCAATTGTAGGTTTTTCTTATGTCAGGCCAGGCCTGCCGATGCATATGAGTAATATATGCCTTTATAAAATCACCCATTTGATGGCATCAAATCTAAACCTTTCAAAACCATGCTCTCAAAGTTTTTGAATGACACCCTCCCTGATTCATACAGCTGGGGACTGGTAGTGCCCTTATTGTAGAAAATGCAACCTTTTCTGTTTATAAGGGAAGTCTCTGATCAACACCTTGTGCTTGAATCAGAGCTTTGACATGTTATCGTTCATAGATGCTCCTCGAATCTGGTTTTGCTAAAAACAATTCCCTCAGACATGGCATCACGATGCTGAAGTTGAAATTCCGGACTATGCTAAAAAATTATTCAACTCTAAAGCATCAGAAATTAGTTTTTGCCTTCGGTCATCATTAACAGTTAGCTGTCTCCTTTTCACGACTCATTTTATCTGTTTGAAGTAGTTGCAGCTTCAGTTCTTGCAAAAATTTTAGACATATATCATTGGAAACAAAAACCAACTAATGAAGTTATCATAGACTGCGCAGATATTGAAGAAAGAGATGAGGAAGCAATCTAATACAGAGTGAGCTAGAAGATCAAGATTGTGCACGCAGGTAACACATACTTTGTTCAATGTAACCTCATAGTGTCCGACTGCCAACTTAACTACCCTAGAGAAAGAATAAACAAGCTTTTTGATGCAATTTTGATGTTGGTATATAATTATACTTCACTTATGCACTTACCTTTATCACCAGGCTGAGTGTGATGAGCTACCAGCTAGAGTAGCGGCACTGAGAAATGAAAATCACTTCCTTAGATGAGCTGCAGAGGATTTATGTGGCATGCGACAAGTATGAAAATATTACAATGAAGGTTTATGCCAGCCCTTGTCACAATTTGTGCCTATAATAACTCCATATCTGGAAGAAAAAAAAAATTGGAAACTATATGAGAATCAATGGCAATGATCCTTTATATTATTATGTACTTAATTGAGAAGTTTGACATCATATATGCTTTAAATATCCAAGATACCTTGTAACATGATAAAATAGAGTAATCTTGTGAAGCACAAATTAATATGATCGGTTTATTTATAATGATGACGAACAAGCAAACAATTAAGTTTAACATGAAAACTTTCCAAATTTCCATTCCCCAACCAATGTCTTAAGTACTACCACCTCCATCCTTGGAAATTGGAATAAAGAGTTCAAGTTGCAAATGGGTTAACTTTTGTAACTTTAGAAGTTTCAATAAGATAATTTCCTTAGTGTAAGAAAAATCAATAACTAACATTTAAATATATAGAGTAATAGAAATAAAAAATATTTACCGATAAGAAAACTATAGCCCCTGTCATATTTGTATTCAAAATACACTCTACTAGGAACTAAGGGTGTGACACTTCAATTTTGAAGGTTGTGAGCATATGCATATCAAAGGATTGTATGCATGATCTATGATTACTAAAACGTGATTTAAATGAATGAGGGATCAGATTTCTGGTTGCTATAGGAAAAACCAGTCATCCTTCAGCTAAGATTCACCATTACCATCTCACTCACTTAACAAGCAAGTCAAGGGTTCAAACATGAACCTTTCACGCAATTCCTAGGTTAAAACCTTTATTTCACTAAATTTCTTATCAAGTATGGTAACAAATCACAATTAAAGAAAATCAAAATCTGAAGGTACCACCGGTAGGGTTCAGGCAAGGTTTTGGTGTTATGGTTCGCAACAAAGACGGTAGGTGTGGTATCATTGACCCTTGTTTTTCCTAAGGCTAAGATTTTAGGCAGGGGATAGTGGTAAGCCTATTGAAAATCCACAACGGCAACAGTGGATATGAAATCATGGCACTTGTTTTTCCTAGATTTTAGGCAAGGCAGCTAGGGTTCAGCAACTACGCAAGGTCATGGTGCTATCAGGGCTAGGTCTCAAATGTATGGCCACAACAGCTTTTCATCATTGGTCATGGTTAGGGTTCACCTATGCCTAGCAAATCCACCTGAAGTTGAATCTCCTTTATAAACCATACTAAGGACCCATTGAAGATTTTCATATATAATAAGGGTGGGTCCATGACTGAAAATGTGTTGGCATGTATTCAGGGAAATCAAAACCTAACATATGATTATCGAATCGACATTGAACGAAAATAAGATAGAAACAAAAATCTACAAATACGCTTTTCATAAAACATCATCATCAACAAGAATCATACCAACTGCTGGAGAAAACTTACCACAAACCTCCAAAGCATCGTGTATATTGATATGCAACAACAGACGGACATCACCATCACCACCCCGTTCCCCCCCTCCGGCGAACACCTCCATCACCGGTCCTGTGAGATTGTTAAAACCCACCATAATCCCAAATCTGCCTTCCCTCCCCGAACTCCGAAACTTTCGAGTTTAGCGATCAAACGGGTTATGGATTTCATCACCTATCTGTGTGTTTTCGGTTGATCTGTGTTGAATATGTTCGTGTGTTTTTAGGATTTTCAAGTTTTTGATGTAACTACATGGACCAAAAATGAAGTTTTACGCTTAATTTCATACCCTCATATTTTGTCATTATATTTAAAAATGATCTCACTAATATTTATTTTTTAATATTATTATAAATAAAATAATAATTACTATCATTATTGCTTTATACATTTTGTTTTGAAATACAAACGGATTTTTAACATTTTATATGCCTTTTGGTTCAAAAATTATATAAAAAGATTCATAAATCGACAATTAATAGTATTTGACCATTAATATTTACTTTGTGTTTAGGGTTGTTTGTTTACCTCTTGATAGTTCCATTAAGAGACAATATCTGAATCGTTAATAGGTAAATCTTATTTGACAAACAATTATATTTTATTTTACACTATATCATGAGAGTCTCTTAATCATTCTGACCACTTAATCATTTTGCACCAAATTATTCAGCAATTGCCAAACATCCCCCTCGGTTATACCGCTTTCACCCCACAAAAAAAACTTGCTTTAATTAAGAGCTGAAAAACGAGAAATTTGCTAAACGCCAGGAGTTGAACACGCAGCTTTTTCAAACATATAGGCCAGGCCAATTCAACAAGCTACAACATCCACAAACAGCTGATCAAAAAGACCACCAACAAACCTTTCATATTCTTGCAATAATCTAAACTTCTACTACATTCAGACCCAACTTTTATGTCTAGTTGTGATAAACAAAAAAAAAGGTTCAAACGAAGGTGTACATTGAGTTTACACAATCATTTCGGTTTATGAAACTCCTCCAACTATCATGCCTGTTACCTTCAGCCTTCAGAAGCAAGATCAAAGAAATACATCAAGTTCAGGGAGCTTATCCAGTCTAGCAAACTTGCATAATTCACCCTGTTGAATAGAACATAAACTGTCAAAGGTTAAAAATAGCTACGGGTATTTGCTCAAAAGATTGCAATTCGGGAAGTTTTCATGTTAAACCAACTATTTGTTCGTTTAACATCAAACTGTTACAAATAAATTTATTATATTAGCTTTTGGTCCACAAGATTACTCTATTTTATCTTTTGTTAAAGTGTATCTTGGATAAGAGTAGTCAAACAATTAACTACGTAAAAAAAATAAAGAACCATTGATTCTCATATAGTTTCAGATATGGAGATATTATACACACAAACCTTCATCAAAATGTTTGCTTAAGCAGTCTTATCGCATTCTTCATAGAGATTCTCTAAGCAAATGATTCTCAAATCTTAGAGCCTCTAATCTAGCGTCTACCTCTGCACACTCAGCACACCCAGCCTGGTGATAAAGGTAAGTACGTAAGTAAAGTACCAAAATCCAACTTTTATTTGTTCTTCATCTATGGATACTATGAGGTTATATTGAACCAAGTATGTGTTTACCTGCTGCCACAATCTTGACCTTCTAGTTGACTCTATTAGATTGCCTCCTCATTTCTCTCCTCAGTATTCGCGCAGTCTGTAGTGACAATTGCATTAGTTGATTTTTTTCAGTGAGATATGTCTACAAAAATTTAAGAACTGAAGCTGCAACTACTTCATAAAGATAAAATGAATCCTAGAATATGACAAAAATTTAAGACATAAACGAATGGCCAAATGATTACCACCCTGCAAAGGTTAATATATGAACTCTTTAACCATACAAGCAAGGATGATATTTTTTCTTGCTTTTTTGGTTAATCTCAATATGATATTCTAAAACAATGGAAAAATATCAACACAACCCATATAATCATTTTCATTAATGTTCAAATATTTTCTAGAAGACCCACAAAACATAATCCCGAAGGGTAAAACGTTTGTCACCCGCACCATATCCCTTGTATATTCACCCGGCTAAGTGATACAAATGTTCAAATAGCAGAATAACCTATTCCAAAACGAAGCAGCATGATATGCATTTTTGGAGGGTAAAACCGATTTAGTGAACTGAACTTACAAGATTGAGTATTTTGTGTTTACTTAATTAAGAAATACTAATCATGAACTGTTAAGATGTGAATGGAAAAGCCCGGTGGCACCCAGGTGGCTGTTTTTAGAATTAACGTTAATATAGCACCTGTGTAATCTTTTAAATATTTTTATGTTGATATGAACATCATAGTCACAAATTGTACCTTTCTTGCACATCCTAAACAAGAATTGCATAAACAATCATTAATAAAACTAGTCCTATTACTATTTTTAATGCACAAGAATAAGTGTATTGAATGCAATCAACTAACGCAACCAAAAAGAAGTTATGTAAAAATGACAATGCAGCCTGTACAAGCATTTGAAAAAACCTAATGTATGAGTGTTAATTAAGTACAAGTAACAGAAGTAGTTTAACCGAAATCTATTGTACAGTCACTAAGGGGACGTTACCAAATGCTAACCGGATAAGCTTTTACTAGCTCACTTACCTTACCGGTAAGCATGGCAAGGACCAAGAATCTTACCCAGTATAAGGCATGGCAAGGACCGAGAATCTTACCATGTATGATGCATGCCAAGGACCAACAATTTTACCCGGTAAGCGAGGGTGTTGCCTCCCAGTTTGGATCATTGCCTACTATGCTATTTATTGGTAGAAAAAACCCACAACCCCCCTATTTTTCTGGTAAAAATAAAAAAGGAGACAGCATTCCTGATTATTCAGAACTTCTTTTTGATGGCCGATAATTTTACCCGATAAGGTAAGTGAGAGTGGTGACTCTTACAAGTAAGCCCTTACCCAGTAAGCATTTCGTAGAAGGCCCCTAAGTAGCTAAAAGCTTAGCTCACAAGGGTTGGTGCATAGTTACAAAGACCCAGACTCTATATGGGAAAAGCGGAAAAACAAGGGTATGAAAAAGTGAGACTGAAAACTATGTATTTTTGTCACTGAAATTTTCACAGTTCCGACATGGTGGTGAGTGAGGGGGTAATTAATATTTACTATATGTTCTTCTTAATTTTCAGGGGCCTACACTATTTTGTGGATTCGGTCAAAACCTTTTTGACCATTCTTGTCTCCACAAGAGTTTTTCGCAAGCCTAGGGTCTTCACGGAAACAGCTTTTTTCTACCCCTTAGGGTAGAGGAAATATCTGCATACATCCTACCCTCCCAGACCCTACTTTCGAGTGGGATATACAAGGTATGTTGATGTAGTCAGACAGGTCCAAGGAGAAATCATGTCGTGGATATGGAGAAGATGGTGTTGACCGTCGCAAAAGTAAATGATGATGATGGCTGCAAGATAATATAGTGGAGCAACTACATAACATTTTCTTGTACTCAGAACCTTAGTATTTGAGCAATAGATCTTCTATTCATTGTCATTTGCATTATCCTTTATGTAAAAAATTTAACCAAATTAAAATTTGTTACGTGATTGTGCCTGATACTTGTTAGCTTGTACAAAATCAAAGTAAAGCATATATTAACATGCATAAGCCATGGCATAAAATTGTATATTGATATATGTTAACAAAATAGACAAACATAACAATACTTGGGAGTATTTTTTTTATTCTTTTCTAAGTCAACTTTCTTTTTCTCTATGTTTGATGTTTCTTGTGCAATCTAATTTGTGCATAGCTTTTATGTCACTAACATTTTAAAACAAGACAGCTGAACAACCGCATTATATGTTACATCAACTTGTTGAGTCGTTCTCACTATATAAAACAATTCAAACAGTGGTCACCTGATTAAAGAAAAAAATAGTTTTAAATCGCTTAATCTCAACTTGAAATATCCTACACCAAGCTGTCACAACAGTGAAATTAAACCCAATTCATTTTTGCTCATTTAACATGTTCAATTTCTAGGTCCCAGCGTAGTTTCAGAAGAAAGAGGCTATGATATCGAATCCCATTCACTTGATGCGAGAAGAAAAGAGGGACCCACAAAATAACGTTGAACAGGGGGAAATGGTGAACTAAATGGAACCAATAAATGTATTTTGCCATGAAGGTACCATTAGAAACTAGCAAAAAGAACCAAGTTCATTCATACCTGAAATGAATTATCTGTCATCGTTCCATCCATTCTCATGTGGGTGGTGGCACTACTGTTTTATGAGGCAGCAAAGGGATTTGGCTGCATTGTCACAGATACAATTTCAGCAGAGGGATTCACAGAACTATCTCCAAACTAATATTGGCAAGAGTCAAATTAATTACAGGATTCTCAGCCACTGATGTCAGAAGATTGGTCCCAAATTATTGTTCTTTGTATTGGGTGTAAAGAAATGAAATTACAGTTTATAACATATACTCTAACAGGAGGAGACAAAAAGGCAAGAGGTGTGCGGAATTACAGGTTCCATTATTACATCCTGAAATTTACTGAAGGTACTAATTTGATATGTTGGTACTAGAGATGCACAAAAAGCCCAAGGCCCAGCCCCCAAAAGCCCGGGATCGTTTTATGCTCACAAAAACGGGCTTGGATGTCCGGGTCCTTATGCATCTCTAGTTGGTACACAATTCAGAAACATTTACCATTTATTTCTTAAGTTAATAAATGTTATCAACGGGAATAAAAACCAAAACTCAACTACTATGATTAATTCCATTCAAAACTAGACAAGATAAGCATATTGAATGTAATATATGACGTGGAAGAACATACATGTCCGTCATCCTCATTGCCTCTACTAAATTTTTGGAGACTCATTCATATCATTTAATATAGCCACAAACAAGATAATTATCTTTGATCGTACAATAGGGATGACAAATACATCATTCATGTCATTCCCTTATAAATGACTTCCTGTTCAAAATAGCAGCCGGTTCCAATACTCCGATTCAAAGCATTAGATCGGTAAAAATGAACTACAATTCAAATCTGTCATATATATATGTATGTGTGTGTATGTATATATCATCCCTAACAAGCATGCACATTTTATTTTTATTTACTCAAAAGTTCTCAAGCGACAAATGGTATATGTCTATTCTAAAAACTTTGATGTCAAGTTATTTGTTTAAACCACTTGATATGTCTTTATCATGTAAGGATGATGTTTCTCATGAACTAGGTTGTTTCAGTGATGATAGAACAAGAGATCAACGATATACCCCAAATTTAGAAAGATATATCTCTCAACCCATTCAAGCAAATCTTAACAATATATGGCCTTGTCCTTAACATGATAAGGCCTTGAAACAAAAGCTAAATTTGCATGACATAATTGATAATGTTGGGTTCTCAACTTAAAGGACATTACATGAAAATTATCATAAATCAGTTACAAGCACTCGTAGTTCTTGAAGACATTTCCATACTTGGTTGGACTACGAGAATAACTATGTGTACCAGAAACAGTGATTTTGAGGTAAAAGAGGAATATTCTTCTCAAACCTTCCCCTATATAAATGATGAGAAGATTCACCAAGGTTTTTTCCATTCCCTTACCAATATCTTAAGTACTACCAACTCCATCCTAGATTCTTAGGGATAAAGAGTTCAAGTGTCAAATTGGTAAACTTTTTAAAATTTAGAAGTTTGACTAGGATAATTCCCTCAGTGTAAGAAAGACTGACAACTACTTTTAAAATATATAGAGTAATATAAATCAAAATGCTTAATGATCAGAAAACTATAACCCCTGTCATATTTGTATTCAAGAAGAGTGTGAGTAAATCAAGATTGCATAAGCACGTAGCACATATTAAGTTGTATTTTGGTTCTTCACTTGTGAACTTACCTTTATCACCCGGCTGAGTGTGCAGAGCTACATGCCAGATTACAGGCTCTAAGATTGAGCATCACTTGCTTAGAGATTCACTGCAGAGGCTGTATGATGAATGGGATAAGATTGCCTATGCAAACATTTTAATGAAGGTTTATACCAGTCCATATCACCATTTGTGCCTATTATATCTCCATTTCTGAAATAAAATGGGAACAACGTAAGAACGATAGTAATTTATTTATTTTATGTAATTAACTGCAAAGTTTGACTTCACATACAGTTTAATGAAATAGTTTGATACTCTTAAATATCCAAGATATTTGTAACAAAGATAAAATAGAGTAATCTTGTGGACCAAAAATTAACATAATCGCTTTATTGTAATGATGATGAACAAGCAAATAGTTAACTGTAACACGAAAACTTTCAAGAAAAGAATGTTGCAATCTTTTGTGTGAATAGTTATTTTTTAATTTTTGACAATTTATGTTTTCTCTAACAGGGTGAATTATGAGAGTCTATTGGACCGGACAAGCTCCTTAAACTTGATGCATTTCTTGACTCTTGCTTTGATTAGCATAAAGGTGAAGGTAGCAGTCGAAACCATGGCTAGTTGGAGGAGTTTGTTACTATTTACTAAGATTCTAAAAATTAGGATGGAAACTCCTTGAATAAACTCAAATGATCATGGAAACTCAAATGTTCAGATTCACACTCTCACTTCGAACATTTGTGGCCCTTTTCATTTGTTTAGGACGAACATATACAAGAGTCGGGTCTAAATGCTGCTTGTAGTATAAGCTTTAATACATTATTGAAAGGATTTGAAGTATTAGTATGGTGTTGATGGTGATCTCTTCATCAGCTCTTTATGTATAGGCTTGCATAGTAGTTGGGGACTAGCAGTGAGCCAAAAACAAAGAGTTAGATCCTCTTGTATTTATGAGCATGTTTATTTAAACTAGCCCAAGTTATATTTTGTTAAACTGGCCTATATTATATAAGCTAGAGATTACATTAGAGAAAACTGTAGCAACCAAGGAATATAGAAGTCAATTCAAGGGCTAAATTCATGATACCTAAACTGGGCATTTTAGTGATGGAAAAGGAATCTTATTAGTTTTAGAAGATTCCTACATCATTATGCTATCAGGGAGTGAGGATCTCACCAAAGCTTTGGGTGCCAATTTGTAGAACTTCAATTTTTTAGCTCGTGAACATGTGCATGCCAAAGGCTTGTTTTTGTGCTTGGTCTATGGTTACTAAAGCATGATTTAAATGAATGAAGGATCAGCATTCTGGTTTCTATGGGATTAAGCCGCCACCCATCAGCTAAGATTCACTATTACCATCTCAGTCACTCAACAATCAAGTCAATGGTTCAAAACATTAACCTCTCAGGCAATTCATTGGTTAAAACCTTATTTTTACTAGATTCCTTAACAAGTATGGTAACAAATCGCAGTTAATGAAAAATAAAAATCCCAAGGAATGGGGCACACCAGTAGGGTCCAGGCAAGGTTTGGACTTTTGGTGTTATGGCCACTAGGGTTCAATACGCAACAACAACAGCAGATGCGGTATCCTTGGTTTTCCTATGATTTTAGGCACAGATAGTGGTACGCTGATTGAAAACCCACAACTCCCCTTGTTTTTCTAGGATTTTAGGCAAGGCAGTTATGGTTCAGCAACTACGCAAGGTTATGGTCGTATGGGGGCCAGGTTTCAAACGCATTGCCACAAAGGCCCTTCTATTGTGGGTCAAGACATAAGGAGAGTAAAACTAACAGTCTGTCTTAGTTTTACCATGCCCAAAAATTATAATCTCCCTTTTGACCATAACATAGTGGGACACCTAAATACATCTTGGTCGTTATATAGGGCCTTTAAACCAGTATTAGTGTAACTAATTTAAAAAAAATTATAAATAGATAGGCTTTTCTGCACCAATACCTAATACATCAACTATATCATCAAGTTCATGTACAATATCACTAAATATGCATAGCAAATCCATATAAACATTATTAAGAAACCAACATATGATAATAGAATCGACAGTGAACGGAAATAAGATGGAAACGAAAATCTACAACTACGTTTGTTATGGAACAGCATCATCAACAAGAATCATACAAACTTCGAAAGCATTGTGATGTACCTGTTTCCATCTAAATCGCCATAATACTTGATTGGGTGACATCTTTGCTAACGAACGTAACCCCGAACAAGGAGTAATTGAGAGATCTAATGCATCGTATCTGAAAACCGTATTTAAAAGATTTGATCGATGAACATCGCATCGAAAAACGCAAGGGAAACAGGGAAACACCACCACCGCTCCCCTCCCCCTCCGGCTAACACCACCATCACCACCCCTCCGGAGAACACCCACCATAACCCCAAATCTACCTTCCCTCCAAATCTGGAGGTGGAGATCAAATTCGGAGATGGAGGGGATGGAAGGGGGATATTTGGGAGATTCACCGGAGGGAGCTGTTTGGGAGGTTCACCGGCGGGATTTGGTGTTGGGGAAGAAGAAATGGTGAGATGGAATGTGTAATAAAATGATTTATATAGAGGTGGTACTCACCTGATTGTTGCAAACAAACCAAGGGTATATTTGTCATTTTCATTATTTTCTTTAAATATCTTATCCAATTACCATATATAACAAATTTAATAAATTTCTTTAAAAACCTCGTTTCTTTTTTAACCAAAAACCATGGTTTAAGTATTACTAGATAGAAAATGATTATTAGTAATATTAATAAATATTAATTAATGGCAATTAATATTACTTAGAAATTTTTAATTTAAACTCACAGCGAGCAATGGGGTTGAAAAGGGTCCAATGGGGTTTTTTCAGGGTCAAACCGGATTCTTTCAGACTAGGTCTACTCTCAACATTTCGCACTGATCAGGCTTCGAAACCTAGCCTAGATTGGGCTTCAAGTTCACCAGGCTTGGGCTTTTTCAAGTCAATGCCTAAGCTCGGCTTTGGGATTGTGCTTTTCTGTACATTTCTACTTGTACATAGTTTTAAAATGTCATACGCTTACTATTTTTTATATATAAAAACATGTAAAATGACCAATTTCTTTCTCAATTAACAGGGTATTCGTCTAATTAGCTAGGACAAATGAACCGTTTCGTAGTTAAATTTAAATAATATTTACGATTTTTAAACTGAAGATTATTAGATTTTCCTAGTAACCAAAGAGGCCAAAAAGTGGAGTTTGTCTTTTTTTAAATCTTCATTATATAAATATAAATATATATATATATATAGAGAGAGAGAGAGAGAGAGATAGAAGTGTTCATACGAGAATAATAACTGAATAAGAAAATAAATTAAATAATCATGGACCAATCATTTATTTGAATTATGTTTAAATAAAACTTTCTTAAACATCGTCGAAAAAGGGCATATGTGTCATTTGTAGCATATGGATTATATATGAAATTTATTTATTTCTATAAAAGTTATTTAATGCATTTAATTAAGATATTTGTTTATGATCTTGTTTATAATTTGTATGATTTAAGCATGATTAATTTTTTTTATTTTTTATGACATTTAAAATGAGCATAATTAGATTTTGTATATATAAAAAGTAAGGGAAAAAGTCTAGAATGAGGTGGGAATAGAATAAGTCTTTTTATTCTTCATTTAAAATATTAAAATATTAATTTTTTGTTGAAATATTTTATTTAATTATTTTTTTTTTTAAATTATCAAAAATCACATATGATATCCATAATTATTTCGACATTTTTTTCTTCTTAAAAATCACTATTTTTTGTTTAAAATATCATATGTGATGTTGATCATAGGAAATCTAAGTGAAAAATAAATGTAAGTTATTTACAACATTACGTATAATATTTATAAATTATGAATTATTTTTTAAAGTACATGTGATCTTATACATATTATTGTGTAATATTATACATCACATATGATTATGTTTTTTCAATGTTTAATTTGAATCTTTTTTTTTCATCTTTTAAATCACGTATGATTAGAATTGTTTTTGAAAAAAATCAATTAATTATGAATCATATGTGATTTTGATGAAATCATTAAATTTTTTTAATAATGCCTTGAATGAAAAATTAAAGAAGTTTATTTTAAATGCATTAAATAGAAATAAAGTTTTCAAATAAAAAATTAAATTACATTAAAATCACAAATATGGTAAAATTAAAATCATAAATAAATACCTTAAATGACCTTTTTATAAATACAGTACATTATGCCATTATTTATTTATTTTTGAAATTATTTATTTCGGGTATTGTTTAATGAATTGTGTAGTTCACATTCATTTTCTTATTTGGTTACTGTTCTCGTATCGACTTGACTCTCACTATATATAGGGAAGGAACCATTTACAAACCAAGTTATTTGTATGAACCATCTTCAACAGTTGATTGCATTGATCAAGGGTTATGATTAAATCAGTCTAAAAACAATTAATACTTTTATTTAATGAAAATGGCACTAAAGAGTTATGTGGTTCGGAAAATCTCAAGGCTTATTCACTGCAGGTTAAATAAAATCCCGATATTAATGGGAGATTTCAAAATTTCAATCAATATGTTGTAAAATTCAGTTACCAAAAAAAATCGAAGAACTACGTATAAAATCAATCAATATTCATGGGAGATTTCAGTAATGAATCTGTTTCAAGGTTGTTGTTTCATTAACATGTTTCAGTAGAAAAAAAAATCATTAACATGTTTCGATTTGTGAGAGTCTTGCGAAAAAATATGGACCACGTGATCTATTAATTAAAAAAATACCATAAACAAAAAAATGAAAAATAATTTTAGAAGTTAGAATAATTACTAGAGGTGGTTTATTATACAATCATATAACTCAATCAACTGAAATAATTATGAAAATAATAGGAGTTTTTTTATTATGATTTTAATATTTATGAAAGATAATCATGGTTTATTAATTATGACCAACACTTTATATTATAAAATAATCAAATTTTTTATTAAGCAAGATATTCATTAGAGTAGATGGACGGTTCAGATTAGGTTATACGGGTTGTACAAATGACACATGTTATATTTGCTTACATGGGTTGTATCTTAAAATCTCATTATATCTTTTAGATTTATTTATTTTTATAATTGTAATAATGTTTTTCTTATATATACTTTTGATTAAAAAAAATCATAATTTTCCTTATATATCACAAATAATCT